ACTATTAACTATACTACAGATTTTATTTTATTTTACTCGTTATATCATTAATTTCCTTTGTATGTTCCAGGATTCCATCAAGGACATCACTAATTTCTAATCTGGGACAGTTTCTCAGTCTTTCCTGATCTGGACACATTTGAAGAGTACTGGCCACGTGATTGCTACTGTCCTTCAATTTGAGTTTGTCTCATATTTTTTCAAGATTAGAGTAAGGTTATGGGTTTGGGGCAAGAATGCTGCAGAAAGTGAGGTGCCCTTCTCATTGCATCATATCAAAGCATACGTTGTCAACTGTTAGTTTTTCTTTTGTTTTGTTTTAACCTGAACTACTATAATGGCACTGAAATTAAACCCTGTCAATTGCTGCTAGACATCTGCTTCAAAATCACTCCTATGTCATTTGTTTGCTTGCAGATCATTTGACGTGATCATTTTACGTGGATCCACAATCAACACCATGGAAGCAGCAGTCAAGACATCAGATGTCATATTGTAATAGGCAAATTTCCTGCAAAAGACCTTAAAGTGTTAAATTGTAAAGATGTCACTTTGAAGACTAAGGTGTGCCTAACCCAAGCCATGGTATTTTCAATTGCCTCATATGCATGTGAGAGCTGGACAATAAATAAGGAAAACCAAAGAAACTGATGCCTTTGAATTGTGGTGTTGGCAAAGAATACTGTAAATACCATGGACTGCAGGAAGAATGAACAGATCTGTCCTAGGAGAAGTACAGACGAATGCTCCTTAGAAGTGAGAATGGCCAGACTTCATCTCACCTACTCTGGTCACGTTGTTAGAAGGGACCATTCCCTGGAGAAGGATTTTATGCTTGGTAAAATAGACGGTCAGTGAAAAAGACCTTCAACCAGATGGACTGACACAGCGGCTGCAGTGATGGGCTCAAGCATAGCAAGGATTGTGAGGATGGTGCAGGACTGGGCAGTGTTTCTTTCTGTTGTCCACAGGGTCACTATGAGTCGGAGCTCAATCGGTAGGACCTAATGACAACAACATGATTATTCATTGGATCGAGTTCAAACTTCCCATCCTGACCTTTCCCCCCCTAAATTTTATTTATGTTGTTGTTTTTGAGGATATACACAGTAAAACATACACCAACTCAGTAGTATTTCCATGTATCATTTAGTGACATTATTTATATTTTTCAAGTTGCACAGCCATTCTCAGCCTCTTTTTCTGAGTTGTTCCTCCTTCATTAACATAAACTCACTGCTCCCTAAGTTTCCTATTTAATCTCTGAATTTGATTTTATATAGATAATTCTTAAAACAGCATAATGCTCAAGGCAGACTTTTTCAAAAACTAGTTAAGCTAAACTATTTTTTTGGTTTCAAGAGGGGGTGTTTTTGGTTAAGGTTTAAAGATTATCTTATTGCAATAGTTTCAGGGCTTCATCCACCCTCCTTGGCTCCAGAAAGTCTAAAGTCCACAAAAATTTGAAAACTTTTGCACATTTTTTCCATTTTTGATCAGGACTTTTCTATGGAATTTTTGATCAGAATGTTCAGTAATGGCAGCCATTCACCATCTAGTTCTTCTGATTCCATGAAAGCAGGTAGTTGCTCACAGAGGGAATTAGCCACACATCCCATATCTTCTTCTTGTTCCTGACTTTCCTTCTTCTTTTGTTCCTGGTAAATAGAGACTACTTGTTTGCCTTGGATGGCTGCTTGCAAGCTTTTAAGACCCCAGGCATTACACAACAAACTAGTAGGTAGGACTGAAGCACTGAACATGGTATTAGGCCAAATAAATAGGATGTTCCATGAAAACATGACTTTAAACCTAAAAACCAAGTGTTCTGGTTACTTACTACTGCTCTGACAAGAATATACCACAAATCGGATGGCCTTAACAAACAGGAGTTTATTGTATTTCAGTTTGGAGGCTTTAAGTCCAAGTTCAAAGTGCCAGGCTCTAGGGGCTGGGTGAAAGCCCCTCAGCCTTGGGGTCCAGCTCTGTCTCCTGCTCCTGGCTCACTGGAGCTAGGGGCATTTCTTCACTCAGACAGCTGCTGGCTGCTGAGGCTGAGAAGCCCAAGGTTGACAAGTAAAAAGGCACAGTCCCAATGTTACCAAACCACATGGCAGGCCATTAACTTAAGTCCATTGTAAATCCCAAGGTCGGCAGAGTGAGGCAGATTGCTGAACAACAACAATGCTACATGCAAGGTCCAAGCATGTCATAAGCTAGAGACCATTCCCCGAGGCTTCTGCTTATATACAGGAAGCAGACCACATTCCCTAAGGCAGCTACGCAGCTGCTCCCAGTAGATTCCACCATGGAGTTGATTACCAGTCTCATCATGAGGAATACTACATCCAGCTGCCCAGCCACTCAACCAGGTCCAGCCAAGTTGACACACAAACTGAACTATCACACCAAGGATTTGAATCCTACCAAGTTTTTAGCTGTACATAAATAGCCTCAGCAGCTACTTTTTTTTTTTTTTCACACAACTTTGCCAATTCATTTTTCTATAGGTACAACTTATTGACAGCAATTACAATAATTAGCTATGCAAACCTACCCTTAATTAATATAATTTTTCTCTCACTGTTAGCCCCCTGTTTCCCCATCCCTCCCACCCCAGGAAACCAATAATAAATTTTGCCATAAGGAGCTCTAGTGTGCAGTGCCTAAGGCATTTGACTGCTAACCAGAAGATTGGTGGTTCAAACCCACCAGCCACCCCATGGAGGGAAGACAGGACAATCTATTTCAATAAAGATTACTACCTCAGAAACCCAATGGGGGTCACTATGACTCAGAATTGACTCGATGGTAGTGGTTTTTATGATCCATTTCCTGCACCCCCCTCACTCATTGGTCAGCGTGCCAGTTTGTGCTGGCTTGTGGGTGTTGCTGTGATGCTGGAAGTTATGCCCCTGGTATTTCAAGTACCAGCAGGGTCACACATGGTGGACAGGTTTCAGAGGAGCTTCCAGGATAGGACAGATTGGGAAGAAAGATGTGGTCAGGCCCACTTCTGAAAAACATTGGCTACTGAAAATCTTACAAATAGCAGGGCAACACCATCTAATATAGTACCTCTCAGGTTGGAGGGCACTCAAAATACAACTGGGGAAGAGCTGCCTCCTCAAGTAGAGTTGGCCTTAATAATGTGGATGGAATAAAGTTTTTGGAACCTTTATTTGTTGATGGGACACAACTCAAAATGAGAACAAACAGCTGTGTACATCTATTAATGAGAATGTGGAATGTATGAAGCATAAATCTAAGAAAACCGGAGCTTGTCAAAAATGAAATGAAACGCATAAATATCAATATCCTAGGCATTAGTGAACTGAAATGGACCAGTATTGGCCATTTTGAATCGGAGAAGCATATGATCTATACTATGCCAGGAATGACCAATTGAAATGGAATGGTGTTGCATTCATCATCAAAAAGAACATTTCAAGATCTATCCTGAAGTACAATGCTGTCAGTGATAGGAAAATATTCATACACTT